GACAGACCCTAGATGACAAAAATATAGCAAAGTATCGAGGTGTTGAGTCACAGAAAAACCTCAGCTGGAACCCACATATCAACATTATCAGCAAATACTCCAACTCCACCCGTGCCTTTCTTCAAAGAAATATCCAACCATGTCCTAGAAAAGTTCAATAATTGTGCTACGATACTCGCCTTCAACCAATCATGGAGTATGCCATCATCATAATTATATGGGACCCTAACACTCAAACAATTAGCAATCATCAAGAAGCTTGAAATGGGTCAACGGCGCTATGTCCGCTTCTTTTGCAATGACTACTGCAGGACAAGCAAAGTAGTAGCCATCCTGAACCATCTCAAGTGGCCAACATTACAAGAACGCAGGGTACAGGCTCAGGTGGTGATGATCTTTCGCATCAACAACCCGCTGAAAGACTTTCCACATACTTTCCTCACTCCATCAACATCCCTGCACAGAGGGCATTCCAAGAAGATAATTGTTCATATTGCCTGAATGCTTGTCTAAAAGAGGAGCTTCTTCCCGGATACAATAAGACTCTGGAACTCCCTCCCTTTGAACACCGTCAATTGTACCTCTTTTTTAACTGCTTCAAGCAAGAGTTTCTTGCTGTGCAGCTCCTGCTATGACTAAACAGTCAAATCCTAGAGAGGCAGGTCCTGTTGCAGTTGCTGCAGACAAATTTCATGTGTGGCTGTGCTGTTGAAGCCGTGGCTAGCTGCCGTCTTTGTTGCCTTTTCTCCTCCCATTGTTCTACTCTCTTCTGATCACTCCTCTGTATACATGTCTTCACAGCGCATCTCCATTTGGGGCAGTCTGAAGCATAGGCTTCCCATTTTGTAGGGTTGATTTCACTGGCCTCCATATCCCTCTTGCACACATCCATGAAGCGAAGGCCAGGTCTTCTAACAGTCCTGGTTCTGGTCGCTAACTTTCCCTACAAGATGTCTTTTGAAATGCGGCCGTCTTCCATACGACTGACATGACCAAGCCATCTCAGCCGTCGTTGTGATAGAAGAGCGTAGATGGTCATCATCCCTCCTTTTTGAGGACATCCTTGTTTGGAATGTGGTCCTGCCATTTGATGCCTAGGATTCGCCTCAAGTAGCGGAAATGGAAAACATTCAAACGGCGCTCTTGACTTGCATACAGGGTTCACGACTCACTGCCATACAGGAGAGTGCTGAGCACATAGGCCTGGTAGATCTTCATTTTCGTGTTGGTGGTTTATAGTAAAGTGTTCTTCCAGGCCTGCTTTGAGTGTCTAGCAATCTTGGTTGCTGCCTTGCCAATGTGAACGTTGAGCTCGAGATCAAGGGAGAGGTTGCTTAATACATGGAGCCGAGGTAGGTGAAGTTTTCAACCACTTGGAGGGTGTAGTTTAATTAACATTGGAGGATTCAAAAGTCTATGACACCAAGTTGATCTACTCTTAGACTAGAGTAATAGGACTGCAGGCAAGTTGAAGATATGTCAATATCAAGAATATTTTGTCATGAAAGCTTTCACCAGGTCAAAGGCGAACTTGAAGAATTTGACAAAGGTTGACGTATCACTTAAACCTTGTACAGCCCGTTTGATGGTTGTGCTCTACTCTGGATTAAAATCTGATGATCTTTGGTTGGTGTGCCACCAGGGTTTCTAGAAGTCATGACGAATCGAGAGTCATCCAAAAGAGTCTTCCTTCCCACCTCACTGCTTCCCTCCCAGAAACTACTGACAACAAACTACAGTTGATCGACATCATAATACCGGTATGCGTGATTCTGCAGAATGATGAGGTGTTCAGAAATAAGCAAAAGCACAAGCTGGTCATTACCGGTCAAGATGAGGTATCTGTTGAAGTGATACCAGGCAGCGATGTCATGCCAAGGGAAGATCTTTCCATAACACATGAAGAAGCAGACAACATCATAGTACAGCAAGCGATTCAAATTGCTGCTAATGAGAAAAGGTATGTTAGGGTCCTGGCTGTTAGGGTTAGGGTCCATCATTATCTACATGAATAACTTAGAACGCCAATGATCATGGCGTCATCAAAGAGCGAACTGTTATTGACATTCCTGCCACTGTACACAAGTTAGAAGATATCATTCCATCGATGTTGGCAGGACATGCGTTGAGGGGATGCGACACTATTTGGGCATACTTTGGGATTGAAAAGGGTACATGCATTGCTGAAAGTGATGAAGCAGAAGATTTGACTCCTGTTGGCAAGAGAGCTCATCTGCAAACATGTGTGTGGAAGCACGCCTTGCAGTCACGACCCACATCATTGGATCCTACAAAGTATGGCTATGCAAAAGAAGAGGAAACCAAATCCCTGATCCCTGTCACAGTACTTACAAATGTACAACTCGCACCGGACAACATATTAAGGTTAATACGGTGCACTTGTGCGAGTGGAAGCCTATGTAAATCATCACGGTGCCAATGCAACAAAGCAAAACTAGCATGCACAATTTTCTGTGGTTTTCGCGCCTCTGTCGAGTGTTATAACGATCAAACTAAAGCAGCAAATGATAGCCATTGGAAGGTAACCATGTTTGGTCATTTTGGGTGGATATTTCGCTTTATTAAACTCCCTTATAAGAGAGGAACCTTTTCATGATAGGTTCATATAAAAGAATGTATTACCTCAAAATACAAATCAAATTTCTGAATGCTGTCACTGAAAACGGGCATTTATAACCATATGGTACCTCATATCTATGGGACAGAGAGCATGAAATTCTAGCTTGTTTTCTTCAAGTATTAAAGATAACGACCAGTTATGGTCATGCGATTGCATTGTGAAAGAAACGTTGTGGAATCAATCAGAAAAGGTTGATCATCTAGCTTATAAGTATTGGTGTGTACTGCAAGGTTCTGGAATCATCAAAAACGATTAGAAATTTGGCCCACTCTTGGTAAAGTTACAAGCACTGTACACAGAAGGATGTATATGGGACTACGCGACACGTGCGCGATATCTATCAGGTCTAAATAGATATAACAATTTACCAAATATATCAATTAGTAGGCGGTTTCTCGGCAAAATTTGTATCATCAAATTCTGGTATATTGGTATAATGTTCTTAGACTGTTGAATAATGTATATAGTCAGGTGGCGCCATCTTTGGAGGTACTTAACGATATAAGGGTGGGATCCCCCGGCAAAAATTCATGTAAGGGCGTGTGTGTGTGTTTGTTTGTACGTGTACGTTTGCGTGTGTGTGTGTGTGTGTGTGTGTGTGCGTGTGTGCGTGAGTGTGTGCGTGTGTGTAATTGTATATGAGATAAATAAAGAGAGTGTGAGAGCGAGGGGTTTTAACAACTTTGAAAGAGAGGGAGAGAGAGAGTGGGGAAGACAATGTTATGGTCGTAATGGTGCACGGTCACTCATTTTAGTAAACACAAAAACATCACAGAATTATTTTCATGTTGGTTTATTAGCTTCATAACAGTCAAGCCAAATGAAAGAAAGATGAAAATCATAGCATTCTCTGTTTAACCACTGTTGACAGTTGTGCGACAAATGTACTCCTAACCCTTCATTTAACCCTAACCATTTCCCTGCAATCAATTTCCTACCCAAATTCTTGTTTGTTTCTTTTACTTGACATGCTTGCAAGTAAGCACCCAGGGGACCGACAGTATTAAAATGACTCGGTAACATTGCCTCAGATTTTGAAACAAAATCATGGTTTTAGATCATGCTGCAATCATAATTATAAACCTTTAGTGGTGCGTTTATTGACCAGATTTTTGGCTAGAATCAGGTTTCGCAAACGTCTTTCAGGCAAATTTAGAAGGTGATAAACGCAAAGCCTTTTTTAAAGGTCTTTAGATATGGGCATATCTAAAGACGCAAAAAGGTGTGTTTTGAATGTGACATACAGCCAGCATCACGTTTCTGAGAGATGATAAACGCAAAGCTGTTTTGAACCCCACATACAAATCGGACCACCCAGGTTAATTTCCGGTTCGGAGGCTAGTGCGCGCCTTGTGTTGTGTACAAGCATGTGTGTGTAGTTGACCTCCGAGAAACTGTCGACTTCCCGGGTCAAACGGCGCAAAACAGCTGCGCAGACACAAGGCCTTAATTTTGAATCGTGAAGAAACGATGTATACATATCTAGTGGCAAGACCCAATAAACGCACCCATATGACAGTCAGGAATCCCATGACTTTTACAAGCCGATGGACTGTCTGATTATCAAAGGGCACTAGCGCATCGACTTGGTTTCGAACCCGGGACTTCTTGTTACGAGACCGATGCTCTACCACGGAGCCATCGCGCCTCTGTATTCTCATTGGCATAAGAAAATAATAATTCGATAAATAATGGAAGGGAAAAGGTATTTCCTTATCTAAAAATATGGAGCACATTGGCAGCAGCATCATGCAATGGATATAAATAGGGTTTTCTAATATTCATATCGTTTCGTTCATAATATGTGTTAAATTAATTGGTGAAAGTTTCATTTGAGTTCTTCAGTCTATATATATATATATATATATATATATATATATATATATATATATATATATAATATCATTTATTATGCTTTCGTCTTGCACACGAGACACAGAACTATCTGTTTGAGCTTGATGGTTTTGCACAAGTTCACTTGACTCCGTTAAGATGTGCTCGAGCATCATATGTTAATGATAAAAGCTGCAGCGTACGTGTAGGTCACTTCATTTCAATTATAACATATGAAGAATCACAATGTAATATATCATAAAAAGGGAAACAATCGTATTACATAAAACCTTCAAGTAATATGTCCACCGCCTACAGTTGGAATAATAATAACCAACGGAAATTCAATCTTCTACATGTAAATCTGTAACAATAGAAAGACGCGATGAAGTCATAGAGCGGTCCGAATAAACTGCTATAAATGCATCAAAAACACATTTGTGTGTATTTCGACAACCCTATCGTTTAATTTTGTTTACTACTTCTAATGCTTATTATTCTTATATGTTAGTTTTATACTGTTTTGACATTTGCTAGTGAGCTTTGGTGATATTCATTATTTTTATTTCCGTGTATTACATTTTCGTTCTGTTCAGGCCCAGGACGTTAAACAGATTTTGTATATACAATATATATCTGATTCTTGTAATCCTGATTAAATATATTTCAATAAAATTAATAAATAAACAAAAAATTCAAAATCTATCAGTTCTACATGGTATCTTCACCAATCTGCACCAGCATTATCATACAAAGCTCTAGGAAGTCTCTCCGGCGGAGCTAGCCGCACTGTCTCTGGGCGGAATCCGCTGGAGTCCGAGTTGGACAAGGGTCGTATTGCTGAGCTGAGCTTAAACGTGGAGCTGGGTTGTCCAGAACCGGAACTGCCCGCAGAGGGCGTCGTGAAAGATTTAGGTAAGCAGCATTTGAACTGGGAACGCCATATTCTGCGCACCTGAGGCTGTCTGACGCAATAGAGCATGAAGATGAAATACCCCTGCAGAGAGTTCAGTACGGTGAAGAGTCCTTGCACAACCGCACTGGCCGATTGTATGATGCTGAGATAACCAAGAGACCACGTGAGACCCATTAGAATCATGATGCAAACTGCGTTCTGGAAACGTCGAATCCGCTGGCGCTTATCTGCCGAGTCAAGGTGTCTTCCTTTCATAGTTTTGTTCAGTCGCATGATGACCCGAACAAAGATGACAAAGTTGAAGATCATGACGACACCAATAGGTATCAGGAGACCACCAACCAGAGGCCAGAAGGCAGGGAAGCAACTGTAACACAATATATAAATCAAAAATAAAACATCATCTTACTCGGGTTTCTGTTTTTGAATTAAGTTTATAACACGATCACCAAGACTTGAGATAAATGTGCATCTCCTTCTGGAATGTGTGAACTAATGATTAAATGATAATAATAATAATAACAATATTAACAACAAATGCAAGGATGATAATGTTACATTTAGTATAAAGCGTCTTTTTATTAGCCCATAAACGAGAAATGCTATTAATCAAAAAAAGAGAAAGAACATTATCATAGGAAGCTTATATTTAGGTTTTTAATTAGAAAGTGTTCCTTTCACCATTGAGTCCATTGCGCATGTCCATAATCAACATTAACATACATGAACATGTATAAGGTTCGTAAACAATCGCATATGAGATATATAGCATAATGCAAAAGTGATGTCAATTGCACTACCTTCGACGGCGGAGGAATAAAAAAAAACCTGATGTGTAAACAAATATATTCTGCATGATAAAACTTACAAATCCGTCTGTGCGTAATACTGTCTCGAAGCACCTGCAGTAATCCCGACTATTAACAAAGGGCAACCTACAAAAAGAACAAACAATATGATAGTGGTCAAGTTCATATTAGTCCTGTTCTTCCTCTCCCTGTCTATTCCCTCTTCTTTCTTATTTCTATATTTCGTTCCTTTTCTTCTCTCAGCAAGTGACATTTATATTATACATTTGCTTATCCATTTCGGCTTCGTTATTGATATTTATTATGTTTTTAATCTTGGATAATTTCAACGAATTATTTTATAATGTGTAATAATAATTTGATATGTTTATGCTACTTGATTGTCTGTTATCTTCCTTAAAAAGTGCATGTAGTTTTTATGGATTTTCAGGGCCTTATGAAAGAAAGACCAACTTTTGTTAAATGGGATATCCTGATGAAACATACATGAAGTAAAATAATTAAAAGGAAATGAAATAAAATGAAATAAAACAAAAATAGAATGAATTGAAAGGAAATAAAATGGGTTCAGTAATGTTTTCAGAACATTTTTACTACATATAAGAGGCTTAAAACAAGTCATAATACACTAACTTGCTTTATCGGCGTCCTAACGGTCAGACACACCTTCAGAAAACCCAGTAAAGCCCAATGCTCTGAAAACGGCAAATAACGCACATTGAATATTGTGCCCTCTTGTTTATTGCGTGGCAACTGCTGTTGATATGTCTATTTTATAAAATTCTGTAGATACATTTATTTCATATGATTGCCTAAGGAACGAAGGAGGGGCACAACACATGTCCCATCCCCCATTCTGTGACGCCCTAATATTAATGCATGGAGCAGATGAAAGCTTACCCCAAGCGATCAACGAAGCTTTCCTCATAAACTGTGGCAAATAGGTATTGAGAACCAGTATGAAGAGATTATACATGTTGAAGCCCTCAACGGCCATCCAAAAAATAGATGCCAGGGTGAAATATTGGAGAAATGCAGCCAGGATTGCGCAAGGGAGAGGGGAGACCTCAGTTACATCTCGTTTAGTGTTCACTGATATCATCACTAGAAAGACCACATAGAGTCCTAGTAAAGCACAGCAGAGGGATAGGAGAATCTGGTTGGGTTTACGGTCTCGAAGCTTCCTGAGAGACGAGAAAAGGGAACCAGAAGAAAGTTGTTTATACTCTGTGAATACTGCATTACCATAATAAAATAACTAAATTCATGAACAAATTTACGATTTCCTTAATTCCACTAAAATGACTTTTAAACGAACTTGTGGAAGTCTCAAGCTGACTTGAAATAACCTTTCGCAGGAGAGAATTTTTGTTTTATTTCTTTCAATTCGGGTTCGGGTTCGGAAAATCACATTCTTTTCTCAGTACCTAACCATTGACAGCCTTATTTAGAAGCGGTCTTCATTGGTGACGATCAATAATATCGTCTTCGTAGTAACATTTATTTATTTTATTACATGAAAATGTCTATGAATGAAACACAAAAGAATACGAATTTAAGCGGGTTTAAATTCTTCTCCATGTGCTGAACAAGAATGGTTTATTTTTATTTGTAATGACAATGTAACATAATAATTTGGCACTTAGTAATAGTACTCACTTGTTTGTGCCATATGTCAAGATTGTCAGGACAAGACCCCATATTGATATCAGGCAACCAACATAACTAATGATCTCAAGGATGAAATCTGCTTCAACTGATAATTTTTCTCCTCCATAGATATCCTGTAACGGAAAGAAAAATGAAGGTTTGAAATGTTATCAATTCTGAAATCGTCCACTTTAATAAACAAAGGTTAGCCCTTATTTTTGTTATTTGAATGTCAAATCTCGCGTGTACCTTATAGGATTAATAACTATAATGATAACAAAATGATTGGGTCTCATTTACCTAAAATAGCCACAAAGAAACAATATTGCACGCTGATTCTCCATCGGTGGAGGTTCGAAATATACAAAGGAAAAGCAAAATGCTACCAATATTGAACTCGATTAAAGAAAGAGAATCAAATACATTAAATTATTCTCTGGGAAAAGAATTTAGTTTTTTATTATTACAGGAAAGGATCGAATCGTGAATACGACCTCTCGTATGTGAGTCAATAGTACAGAATCTTGCCGATTTAATAGTTAATAATCTCAACCACCGTGATCTCCACCTACTTCCTGCAAGCCGAAGATGACGTGATCTCCGAACTTCAAAGCCCTTAGGCTGGGCGTCCGAGTTCGTTTATAACGCCATCTTCGTCTTGTTTTATTCGGAAAATATAAGTAAACCAAACCAAACCAACAAAATATTGAAGAAAATATACCCACTTAGGACACGAAACTTTGGGTTAAGACATTTTTATTTTAAAATGTAGTTGATAAACCGTAAGATAATAACAACTTAAGACTGTTGTAAAAGTCCGTGTCCACTAAATCAAATGAGTTATACATGGGAATTACTAAAATCTTGGTTAATAATTAATTTAACGTATACGGCCAACATGTTTTATTTTTCATTTCAGTTATTTTTCCACATTCCAGTTTTTAAAAAGGAATTAAAATACGAATAATATTTCCCTAATAAGAAGACAAGCAAGTGACAATGGGGAATATAAGATGATAAACCAGTATGTGGAGGAGGAAAAATAAAAGCAAACTTAAGTTGCTTTTCAGCATTAATCTCAATAATATCACATTGTAAACATTATAAAACATAATAGGGGCAGTCATTCAAATCCCCATTACTGACCTGCGAAGAGAATTACATATTTAACAATGAGTGTTTTTTTATAACAAATTCGTTTGAAAGCTTTGGAGTGATACAAAATCTTTAATGTCATCTGTTAATCCATTACAGAAGATTTGGCCTATGTACCTCACACTATGTTTGTCCTTAGGCAGTTTTACAGAATATAGAATCTAGTTTATGCAAGCTTTTGGGGTTGTGTTATGGATATAATCTTTTGATATACAGTCAAACCTGTCTACAGCGACCGCCACCGCCCAAAGGAAACATAAAAAGGAGCCTTTGTAGACAGGTGTTCTTTGTAGACAGGTTCCTTTAGTACATGATTCAATCAAAAATCATTTTCAAGGGAAACAACAAATGTGTCCTCGGTAGACAGGTGGTCTTTGTAGACAAGTGGTCACTCAAGCAGGTTTGACTGTATATCAGGCACTATACTTTCGAGGCAAAGACATGTCAACATATTTAAACACAAACTCTCGACTGGCAGATTTAGCCTGCTCAATTCAGTAAAAAGATTAAGAATGAATCAGTGTACGTGAAGATATTTCAGACGAAGAGTTAAACACGTACCATGAGAATTCCAAAGTTAGTCAGATGATTACACTCGCATTCAATCCTGTTACTACTCTCATTACTCGTCTTGAAGCATCCACGTTGAGACCAGGCATTTTCGTCAAAGTCCCAGGATACACACGAAGCATTGGTCCCATTCTGGAAATAAAGATAAAGTAGAAATTATCGACAATGAAATACGATATAATTCATTGTTAATGTAAATTGGTCTTGTTTTGTTGATGGATCTATGAAGTTCTTTGCTGCATTTACACCAAAAAAAATATTCAAATCATCCTATAAAATCAGAGTCAAAAGTTTACATCATACTCTCGAGATTTGTCTTACGTTTCCTCGCCCCGCTACCATCAATTCATTTATGTCTCATTTTACAAATACGCGAAGCGATTCTGTATTTCCTATAAGATCTATACATTATTGTCCAATCTTACTTACTGGATTCACAGGAGTAAACGATATCCTGACTGGTTCGCTCAAACCCTCCACCTTCTCGTTATTAAGAGACGCTGATATGATCCTCGAATTCAATGTTCGATTGAATTCCTCCTCATCTTTGTTGAGCTGTGCAATCCCCGTGTCCTGGAACAGAGATGGCACGCGATACGTCGTGATGACGAGACGCCCTCTGCGTCCAGAGAACGTGTCCGCTAAACCCGGTGGGAGGAAGAGTGCAGCCTGTGCTTGGGTGGCTTTTGGCTCTTCCGTTTGGTCACCTCTTTCAACGTTGAAGCCTTCGTCAGAGATGCTCTCAGCGTCATCGGTGACAGCCATAAAGACAGTATAACCCTGGCTTAAATCATCCAGGCTCACATCAAGTACCTGAAACGGAATGACCAAATGAGCGAATGTTTTTTTTAAAAGATATTGTGCAATTGCGAACAATAGCCATTTCAGGTATGAACAGAAAATTATTGACAGCTGGTCACATAAAAAGTCCCTGCAAGGTGAGCCCCAAATAGGCAAATCGAATTGGTTCGCTATTGCTTAGAAGAAAATAAAAGTAATTGTACGTTTTTAACATGTATAACATGAGAGCCATTTTAACACACCAAATATTGAAGTATGAAAATGAGCACTTATATCAGAGAAAAATGATATTGCATGACAAAAAAACAACTAGAACTAGAAGCTAGCCTGACTCTAAAAGAATTATTCTAAAAATCAAAGAAGTTATGTCATGGCAAACCACCCTCTAGGCCGACTACCCCCCGGGACAACTACCCCCGGACAACTATCCCCAGACAACTTCACCCTAGGACAACTACCCCCTAGAATAGTTGTGCGGGGGTAGTTGTCCTAGAGGATGGTTGTCGTAGGGGTAGTTGTCTTGGGGTAGTTTCCCGGGAGGACTTTTCCGGGGGTAGTTGTCCTAGGGGTAGTTGTCTGGGGGTAGTTGTCCGGGGGTATTTGTCCCGGGGGTAGTCGTCTGGGGTGGCTATCCGGGGGTGGATGTCCAGAGGGTAGGTGTTTAAAACAGTAAAATTTATTTTTGTTTGTCAGTTACTGACAGCAATTGTAATGGATAATTTGATAAATTCGTTGAAAATTCACAAAACTCCTACCAGACATGGCGTACACGTAGGTTCTTTAAACTGTTAACCCTTTTTTACTCGACCCAGTTGAGGAAAATGGATACCTGGTAAGAATTAATTCGATAAAATGCTAAAGCTCCATAACGGCAGCCATGCTAAAGCCGGGGTAATAACTGTTGAACGCCAGGAGTGTAAAGTTTGACATACTTAAGCGCTATACAAGAACCCACTATCATTATTATTAAAAATACCTAATCGCTCAGTCGCTAAGACAGCGAAAGTATAGATTGTAAAATCTTATATGGCACTTTTTTCTTAACTTCTATGGCATGTCTCTTCCTCTAAAACAATTGAGAACTTCAAACTGTCTTCCTTACCTCAGCGGCAACATTTGTTTCTACAAACCGGCTACTGCCATTTTCCACTTCTACGACAGCTAGCTGTGCTTCGAGAGCCAAGACTACACGGCTTGGCGAGCTATTCTCTTCCTCCGCCATACCAAGCTGTTCGTCAGATAAGGCTGCGATGTTATCTACAATTTCTACTATAGATTCAGTCACCTATGGTTCCAGAAAATGAAATATCAGTTGATTAACACGCAATATTTGTGATAGTATCGTGACAGAATAATTCTGAAGACCTTTCCCCTATTCCCTAAGTGTTTGTAAGTGACCCGTGTAAGTATCACCTTAACAACTCTCATTATTACTACACATCTCTTGAACCGAGACTGACATTGTGTGTAAAGTAAATCACAAATATTTATAATAAATAGAAAAGGGGACTGTAAACTCTCGGCACTTTTAGATATGAAATACCGGCTAAAGCAGTATAACCGTACTACAGTTCAAAAAAAGCTTAGTTACTATTCAGTTACTATTCAGCTGTAGCAGCGGTTCAACAAGAAAAATGATTATATAAATAAACCCAAACTACTTAAAAACGATACCCACCTTTGTCTCTGTAGAATTTATTCCAGTAATATCCTCAAGAAGTTTTGCAACTACATTGAGACCATCTAGGGAGATGTTCTGGCCCCTGCTTGTGACGTCTTCCAACTCTTCAGCGACTTCTGCTGCGTTATCTGAAGTGATTTCTACCTGCGAAATCTAATGCAGAATGTTATCAAACAGGGTAAAAATATAAGCGAATGGCAAGTAAAGAAACGTTCACCCTGAGATGGTTGTACTGTTTAGATATGAATGGAACTGATTATTATTCTCCCCAAAAAGAGGAAAATGGAAAAAATAAAGGAGAAGAAAAGTGACATTGTCCATGTCATCGCCGCTGCACTGTGAGGTAACACGTTCAAAGTGCTATTACATAGCGAGAGAGAGCGAGATATATATAAAGACAGAGAGAAAGAGAGACAGACAGACACATAAAGAGAGAGAGAGAGAGAGAGAGAGAAAGACAGAGAGAGAGAGAGAGAAAAAAAAGCGAGAAGGGAGGAGAGAGAAAGCTAGCCAAACATGACTACTTTGAGGATTTTGTTATTACCATAGAACATGGGTTTTCCTCAAGAACTAATTTTCAATTTTACATTTCAATTTTATTTCAGAATCTTTTCTATTTAAATTCCTTTCCATTCCAATTCCATACATATATATCAATTTAATTCCATTTCAAATTTCATGATAATTCGATTTCAATTTCAGTTCAGCCTGAATTGTAGTATTATTTAAGACGACTGACAAACAAAATAAAATTGGTCTCAATGCCTTCGCCGTGATATTGACTACCCTCCAAATAATTTAGTTTGGATGCCAAAAACGTTGTTTCAAAACTATGATCCTTGAATTCAAGAATATACTGACGTTTTTTAGGATCTCAAGAATCACTTCAACAGTCAAGTTCCTTCCGCAGTTCATCTCTGGTATTACCCAGTTACATGCACTGGTATAATCTCCTTCACATACACCTTCTACAGGCTGATCTCCTGTAAAACAAAAGTTCAATATTGATAAAGAAACTTTCCAGTAGTTCATAATAACAATAATAATAATATTCCGTGTTTATATAGCGCTCAATACATCAATCCAACGATGTGCCTAAGCGCTTTATAGATATATTATTACCCCGTTCATCGGAATCAGGCTTAACCGCACACAATGTATGCACATTTTCCACTCCCTGGGGAGCATTCCAGCCAGTCGTCATTTTACAAGCGCACACTTGCTCGTCCAACCACATGAACTTTCGAATCCTACCGGGTACCCATTTAAAGATGAAGTTGAGTTCTGGTCATGCGATTGCATTGTGAAAGAAACGGTGTGAAATCGACCAGAAAAGGTTGATCATTTAGCATATAAGAATTTGTGTGTATTGCAAGGTTCTGGAATCATCAAAATGATAAAAAATTTGGCCAAGTCTTGGTAAAGTTACAAACACTGTACACAGAAAGATGTACATGGGACTACAAGAACACGTGGCGTAAAAATCCTACCCCCCGAGTTTTACAATGAACATGACATATTTAGAATATGAAGGCATTTGAAGAGCCATGCTTTTCAAGGAACATGTCTTATCTGATGTTCTTCCACACTTGCATAATAAGAATGATAACGCTCACAAATTATTTTTCACTTCTTCCCAGAACTCAACCTTCTCTTTAACACCTGGGTGGAAGAGTAGCAAGTGCATGTAAATATCTTGCCAAAGGATATTAGTACCGTGTCGGGATTTGAACCCTCGACCTTCGCATCTCCAGTCAAGCGCCTTACACCACTCGACCACGACACTCATAGAGGTGTTGTAGCCGAGTGGTTGAAGCCCTTGACTGTAAATGCAAAGGTCATGGGGTTCGACCCCCTACACTGTACTTATGTAATTTGGCAAGGCATTCATCTATATTTGCTACCCCATACCCAAGTGGAGAGAGAAACGGGGACTTGGTAGGATGACCAAAGCCTTTGTGATAGAAATTGCTTATCCCCTCAAGGTGACTATTCCCACTCCCCAGGGAGTGGAAATGGTGCCATTCTTATGTGTGAATTAATTTAGTGACTGAGGTTATTACATTATTGAATAATTAAGTAAGTAATTAATTATATCATAGGAACATTCTAGGTCAATGATTGGTCACAACTGCAGGCATGACATTCACTACTGACTGCTCGGCAGTATAGCGCAAAAATATTGACCGGTCATAGTTTTTCTTCTTGGACGTACAATGCCAAGACGCAATACCCTTAGACGGGTAAATTTCCCTAGACTCTATAAATATATACATTTCTATTGAATGTTGTTTGAGAATTGATACAGGGGATGAGGTGTGTTAAAAGAAATATTGACTGCTTATTTTGGGGGGTACGGTTTAAACTAGCTCCTAGGTTATCTCGAGCCTGCACAATGACCCTCGACTTCGTCTCGGGTCACAATACAATTTCGAGATCACCTTGTCACATCATCATTAAAACAAATAATGCGGTTTTACTGCATCATAACGTGAACGAGGTTCAATCGCTCATGGTTTACGTGTTAAGCAAGGGGATAAAAGACATACTGTAATTCTTCTTACTTTGTTCACTTCCCAAACACAAGTATCCAGAGAAAGCTTTGGATTTGACTAACCTCTCTCTGTATAGTATGGACAGGTGGCGTTGGTTGAGTTAGCTCTACCGTTGATGGCGCCGCTCTCAAACATTGCTATCGATCCGTACGCTGTCACGACGGTTGCCGCTGGGCAGGTCACTGTCAAGTCAAACGAATGGACAAGGGTGAGTAATTCAAGAGGGGATTTCTTATTCAAATGTTTCATTTCCCCCTTTGAAGCATCATACTCTGCTCATACTTTTGATTTGATTATTTTTGTTATCGTAATACAATAATGATAATAAATGACCACACTTCGGAAAACGTTGGTGTAATCTATGATGGATGGATGAAACCATCGCATACTTTGAACTTCTTTATTTCAGTAGGGATTTATGAATGTTTTGAATGGTGCACTTTTCCGATAATTCATCAGAGTTTTTCGTAGCTTTATTCAGGAAATACCACGTATATAAATACGATCGCAAAACAAAAATCAGGAAGTCATTTAAAATTGTCCATCTTCCCATTTAAATATGTGAACATCAAAATAACGTATTACGTCTTCTGCATATGATTTTAATTGGATAAACAACTGGGTATTGGAATTGGCCAAGGGTTGATTTCCTTGAAGTCTGTGCGATCGTGTCAATAGAAATATTAAGTTTCTTTATTATATGAACATAATTTTTTTTTATGTAAAAAAAAAAAAAAAAAAAAAAAAAAAAAAAATGTACATGTACATGTACATATGTTAAAAAAAAAAAAAAATATATATATATATATATATAAATATTATTATTATATTATACCTTACGTTTATATGTTCTTTGATATTCTGTTATTATATTTGGAAAAATGCAGAAATCAAATCAAATCAAATACAAAAATGTAAAAATATGCACTTTTTCGCATTCACCTGTACTAAATGTTCCAATTGAGTCTGGGTTCATATATGTCGGGTCTGCCTCAGCAATATCAATCAATGTAGCATGGATTGTCGATAAGTGTTCCATATCTTGAAGTGTACTTCTGTCGACTACATCTATGACTACAGAGAACTCAGCAAGGATGCTCCCTGCAGTGAGTGTGTTGACTGTCACCGATACTGTCTCAGTAAAGCGATTACTCAAAGGCACTTGTATCTGAAAGCAACACAAAGAAGAACTCATAGGCTTTTTAACAAGAAGCCTAATTATAATAATGATGATGATGATGACTATTATGATAATACAAATAATAAAAAATAATAATAACAATGATAATTATGATGATAAAGATGATGATAAAAATAATAAAAAATTACAACAATGATGATCATGTTTTTTTCCCAGGGTAGCGTCGTCAGTATCAATACAGCCCTACTGTCCTACTTGTAGCTACTTGCTCCCTCTATATAGAAAACTTCCCCAATCGGTGCCTATTGGTCCCCCATGATCCTCTTTTTCTTATGTTAGTTGAGAGCTGAGTTGATGAGATAGCCACCTGTCAGTGACCTCGCTGTGTGGTCTAATCCCTTCTGGCCTAGTAGTTTTGACGGGGTTTTTTAAGCCAATCTACCGTGATAAGGCACACGAGCATTCAAGAAATGTCTTCCTAGAGGGTATCCAGTTACTACACCTGGGTGGAGAGTGTCAAAGGTAGATATGTGTTGGCTATGGACATGAACCATGTGATTCACAGTCCAGCGACGTATCCACTAGAGCATGGCATTTAAAATAGAAAAATATAGAAAGAGAGAGCAAGAAAGAGATGGAAGGCAACACGAAAAGATGATACGGACCTCTTCTACTCCTACCCTCTACTCGATGGTTCTTTTCTCTAGAATGTCAATAACTATTCCATTGCCCCCTGTCACTTTTGTTCGACCCTTCCCCAAACATCCCCAACCATCCTACACCCTCCTCCAGTGAAACTTATTTACCCACGATGATTGGACCTACTACACTACCCATACAAATATCATACAGATATCAAAACACTGACAGCAACAATTAGACACTGTGCTGTGGAAAATGTATAGTTTAGATGAAGATGGTAAATATTTATATGAACTATATATAACTATATATATATATATATATATATATATATATATATATATCGAAATAGTTTAAAAAAGAAATCTTTGACATGGGCATATTCCAAACGAAGAAACAAATGTGACTGTAATTGTGCTTGACAGAACGGTTTATTCTGAAGAGCAAGATATGAAGTAGATGAAATGGATTCAATCATGAACAAGAAAACATACTTACATAATTCACCAATTCTGCTACGATTTGAATGAAATAGGGAGATGTTCTATCTGTCAGGCTACTGACGAAAGTCTTATTAAGAAATGTTGCGACTACAATGTACGTATCAACAGCTGAAAACAAAATAAGGAGAGAATGAGTTAATTAGTAACTAAATCTAGGCATACACCGTATTAACGTACACGGTAAAAACGCTGTTTAAAAAAGTGATGTTCACTTACAGTTGTACACTATCTTAAACAACAGTTGAACAAATTGTAAACAACGTTGCTCGAAACGAAAGTAGTTTTGTTAAACATTCGCTGTTTAAAATTTAATGACTGCTATATTTACTATACGAGAGCTTTTAGACAGTGTTGTTTACATATGACGTCATGTGTCTCGTGCCAGTAAAGTGCCCGTTGGCTAAAAGCTTTATTTCACATTGTTATGTTTAGAAACAGGTTCCTTGAAACTAACATGCAATTGAAATTAACATGCCACTTAGAAATGTAGTGCAGCTGTTTAGGCACAGCTCATTGTTATTCATATTAGATGCATACACACAATGCAAGTGTATGCAAGGGTCTTCTGTTGACTACACAGATTGATACATATGTAAAAGCACATGGATATTGAGTCTGGATTAAACTACCAAAGCAACCACACGTGTTTCTGCAGGCTCCATTTTGTTTGTCTCTAAACTTACATTTATTTAGCTTAATAGTTATTACTTTCCAGCCCACAACACAACACACATCATGGCCGACCAAGCTACCGACGCGCTTCTAAGTGACTGCAGGGATTCAGTGGCTTAATTGAAATCACTTTTCTATTAACCAATTTGAAGTTTTTAACTTATAGCGTAAGTTCACAGTTAAAATTTTCAGTATCTGTACGCAAATGTCAGAATATAGGTAGACTTAAAATCGTCGCGTCATGCAGTGCGGCACTGATCGCGCACTCGGTTATAGATCGTGTGCTAAATTCCTTGCCATAGAGATTGCATGCATCCCTATATATGCAGTTTATACGTGCGTGCATGCGCGCTCATGCAAAATGGGCACTGTTTTGGCGCTAATTCATGAATTGCAGAATTACCCTAGTCTTCATATACCTATATAGAGACCAAGAAGTAGTGGTGCACTTATTCAGAGTATCAAACCCAAATTATACCCCATTATACAACCCTTTTGTTGTAAACAACCCCCACTGAACAACAGCTCCTTTTTAAACAACTTTCTTTAAACAACCCAGTTGGTTTAAACAACCCCCACTGAACAACAGCTCCATTTTAAACAACTTTCTTTAAGCAACCCAGTTGGTGTAAACAACCCCCACTGAACAACAGCTCCTTTTTAAACAACTTTCTTTAAACAACCCAGTTGGTGTAAACAACCCCCACTGAACAACAGCTCCGTTTTAAACAACTTTCTTTAAACAACCCAGTTGGTGTAAACAACCCCCACTGAACAACAGCTCCTTTTTAAACAACTTTCTTTAAACAACCCAGTTGGTGTAAACAACCTCCACTGAACAACAGCTCCGTTTTAAACAACCGTCTTTAAACAACACCGGTTGTTTAAATTGTGATTTTAAACAAGTTGTTCAAAATGTTGATCAACTAAGTGTTTAAACTTTAAACAACTCGAGTTGCTTAACATTTTAAACAACTCTTAGATCAGGTCACCCGTTAATCAAGAGTTGTTTAAACTTTTAAACAACTTGTTCACAAAAATTTTAACTGTGTATAAGGTTGCCTTGGCAGGGGCGGCTCAAGGGTTTCGTAAAATGGGGGATTTAGTCCCTCTAAAAGTAATCTGACAAGAAAAAGAAAAAGGATTAAGATGAAAAAGCAACAACAAGTGTGTGTGTGTGTGGGTGGTAGATACACAGAATTTTCGACATGGAAAACAGAACGATTAGGGGTCCGGACTCCCCTGACATCCCTTCCCCATGCTTTTTCAACCTTCTACTTTTTAAAATGTCAAGTTTTATTTTGAGACACGTAGTGTGTATTTTAGAAATTGACATTGAAATTTGACATTGAAATAAAATTCACATCATTTCCAGGCGCGGATCCAGGATTTTCCAATAGGGGGGGGGGGCCGGAAATTTGAAAATTGCGCAGACTGTTTTTTCAAGGTCACATTAGAAGCACCATACCGGTACAATTTTTGACATTTTCATTGGGGATGGGGGGGGGGTGCTACAGCCTCTTGCCCGAAAAAGTAATTTTTTGGTTTCACAATTCGGCTAGTGAGCGAAGCGAGCGAGCAACAATTTGAGCATAATATTTTTTTGTGAGAGTGTTATTTATCACCAAAATAAACGAGAAAAGATATCAAAAACTCATATTCGGGTATCTCGCTCCCCCCCCCCCCCCCATTACGCGCAAAGTGCGGAAGCTTTGACCTTTCATTAATTATTAGAGAAAGAAGACGATTTGTTGTACCATTCTCGACTCGTATTCCTTCTCTGAATTCAGTTTTCCCCCTCCCGCGCAAAGCGTGGAAGCTTTGACCTTTTATAGTTTAATGAAATTATTAGAGAAAGAATATGATTCGTTGTTCCATTCTCGACTCTTAATCCTTCTCTGAATTCAGTTTTTCCCCTCCCGAGCAAAGCGCAGAAGCTTAACATTTCATTAAATTATTAGAGAAAGAAGACTATTCGTTGTACCGTTCTCGACTCTTAATCCTTGTCTGAATTCAGTTTTCCCCCTCCCGCGCGAAGCGCGGAAGCTCTGACGTTGCATTAAATTATTAGAGAAAGAAGACGATTCGTTGTACCGTTCTCGACTCTTAATCCTTGTCTGAATTCAGTTTTCCCCCTCCCGCGCGAAGCGCGGAAGCTCTGACTTTGCATTAAATTATTAGAGAAAGAAGACGATTCGTTGTAACATTCTCGACTCTTAATCCTTGTTTGAATGCAGTTTCCCCCCCCCTCTCGCGCGAAGCGTGGAAGCTTTGCCCTTTCATTAATTATTAGAGAAAGAAGATTTGTTGTACCATTCTCGACTCTTATTACTTGACTGAATTCTGAATTCAGCCACCTCCCGCCCCCCCCCCCTCCCGCGCGAAGCACGGAAGCTTTGGCCTTTCATAGTTTATTGAAATTATTAGAGAAAGAAGATGATTCGTTGTTCCATTCTCGACTCTTAATCCTTCTCTGAATTCAGTTTTCCCCCTCCCGCGCGAAGCGCGGAAACGTTGATGTTTCATTAAATTATTAGATAAAGAAGATGATTCGTTTTACCATTCTCGACTCCCAATCCTTGTCAGAATTCAGTTGCCCCCTCCCCCTCCCGAGCGATGCGCGGAAGCTTTGACATTTCATTGAATTATTAGAGAAAGAAGACGATTCGTTGTACCGTTCTCGACTTGTCAGAATTTTCAAAAATGTCCTCTTACTGCCCCTACCGCCACTGGCTACGCGCCTGCTTTAAAGGGAAAATGAAACAATCATGATTGTGATAGCACACAATTAGGTTAGTAGAAATGAAAGGGAAAAAAAGATCTATTACACCAACCATGGATAAATCACGGCCGGGAGTGTCGAGCGAGGGCCGGGGCGTAGCGACTAAGCGAGATTTTGCAATGTTGAATGCTGAAATTATGCATTCTAGAAAATCCTTAAGCCCAATATGTACGTTCTTTCCGCTATATTTCTTTCTAGCTATATTTCTAAACTCCTTGGGGACGTGTCCCCCTATCGGGCCCAGGATTGCCGCCCCTGTCCATGATTACTACCAACATGAGTTCAAATACAAGCACAAGCGAGTTGGTATGAGCTGAATCCAAATGAAGGGCAAAAAAAGAGTTGTGAAGCGGCCCTACCGTTAATTTAAAATTTGACTGTTGAGTATATAGCTTCTATTTAAAAGACATCCAAAATATTATGCCCTTTTCAAATTTCTCAATAAAGAGTGATAACCGCAGGGGCTGTTCTTAACGTTTAACTTTGAATCCGCGGCTCGAGATTTTATGCGGCCGGCCCGGCCCCCCTCTATTCAATAACGTTTGCCAAGCCTTCTGGAATGACCCCCAAATCTCCTGATTACAGTTTTTCCTTATTCATCGTTACTGTCGCATAGCGCCATTTCCTTGTCTTTCCCCCTTTCTCACCCGACTTTTCTTTTCCCCACCCCCCCCCCCCCTCCACCCACTCAGTGTTATCTAGGGTACGCACATGTATGTTCCCTCTCTTTGAAAGCACCCCTCTATCTCCGGTGTACGGGCCGGATTTGTGTGTATTACAGGCCGGAATTGCGTGAAAAGTAATTATTTATCGGAAATTTTGGGAACACAGATTCGGTCCCTCCGACCCCGGAGTGGGGGGGGGGGGGGAGGGGGGGGGGGGGGGCTTTCTTCTTTATTTTTTCTCTTCTTTTTTCTTTTCTCTTCTTTTTTCCTTTCTCTTCTCCTTTCTTTTCTCTTCTCCTTTTTTTTCTCCTCTTCTCCTTTCTTTTCTTCCTCTTTTTTTTCTTTTCCTGCCGTTTCGGCCCCCCCCCTGGATCCGCCACTGATTTCCTTCTCATTGACGATTTGTGGGAATCAGTTGTAGTTAGTTAATATAAGTAGAGGTGGGGAGGGGGAGTCCGCACACCCCCCCCCCCCCCCCCCCACTCCTCTTTTTTCTGGATGAAATTCATGCTGTTTAATACGGATCTATGCTCTGCACAATTATTTATCAAGATTGCCCTATATTGTATTTCCAGAACCCCGAGCTCCCATTACCTACGTTTTGTATATATTTCGATATCCAGATAGATCACTGGCGCCCTCTCAAAACAAAATCAAAACAAAGGCAAAGCTCAACAAATAACGTGAAACAAAATGAAGAAAACGAAAGTCCTAACAAACACACAAGCAAATAAACACACACAAAAAAAGCTGTTTAATGATAGAAGGTACCCTTACCATCGCAATAAGGCAGAGGGTGTGATAGAGCTCCTTTACTCTGACACGTTATAGTATGATTGCCAATCAACATATACCCCATCGAACATTCTAAGTAACAGGTGGTAGCATAGTCGATGGAACTCCCAGCAATACAGTCTGCGGACGAAGACGATAATAATGACGGGAAAGTCTCCGGGAGTGTGCACACGACATCTGAAGGAAAAGGTTTGAAATATCCACATTAAAGGTGGGGCAAAATCCCAATATAAGTTGATTCTTATTAATTGGCATGGCTGCATACAACTCATATTTTATTATTCAAACTTTTAAATATATTTCATAGATTTTTTACTTAAAATAATTTTCTCAGACCTGCTAAGCTCCATCGTAAAAAAATGCTCCAGATCTCATTCATCTTATGACATCATCTTACAAGCATTGGTGAGCTAAACAGAGACAGTAGTATGTAGCTACATTAGAGCTGACCCCCTGTTTAAAGTAGACCATACGTGCTGTAGCATCACCGGGAAAAGAAAGGTAACGTGGAGGTATTGTATGAAAGAATGCAATTCTTTTGTGAGTATGTGCTGATCTGGGAGAAGTTACATACAACTGTCGCTTGTTAGCTCACTAATGATTGACAGATGACAAGAAATTGATAGCTATTAGAATATATAGATATTATATACATTAAACACAAATATAAATAAATTGATTAATTGTTGATCTAACTTTAAAGAAAGAAAGAAAGAATTTTTCAAAGTAGAAAAAGTATATGGACAAAGTTTGAACAAACTTTAGAGTTGGGCTTGAACAATTATGATTAAATAAATTAAATGAAATCGGTAACGAATTCTAATAATATCATGTTAAAGTAAAAATTAAAAGGCCACCAAAATAAGGTCACATCTACCTTTCGTACTGGTAGAAGAAGTTGATGTTGATGGTGACGTTGAAGAAGCCTGAGTTGTTGTTACTTCCGTTGTAGTAGCCTGAGTTGTTGATGGATCCGTTGACGCTGTAGTAGCCTGAGTTGTTGATGTTTCTGTTATAGTATCTAGAATGGTCGATGGTTCCTCTGCAGTAGAAGGAGTTATTGATAATGATGCTGTAGTAACTAGACTGGTCGATGGTTCCAGTGTAGTAGAAGGAGTTGTTGATGTTTCTGTTATAGTAACTAGACTGGTCGATGGTTCCGCTGTAGTAGAAGGAGTTATTGATGTGTCTGTTATAATAACTAGACTGGTCGATGGTTCCGCTGTAGTAGAAGGAGTTGTTGATGTTTCTGTTATAATAACTAGACTGGTCGATGGTTCCAATGTAGTAGAAGGAGTTGTTGATGTGTCTGTTATAATAACTAGACTGGTCGATGGTTCCAATGTAGTAGAAGGAGTTGTAAATGTGTCTGTTATAATAACTAGACTGGTCGATGGTTCCGCTGTAGTAGAAGGAGTTATTGATGATGATGCTGTAGTAACTAGACTGGTCGATGGTTCCAGTGTAGTAGAAGGAGTTGTTGATGTGTCTGTTATAATAACTAGACTGGTCGATGGTTCCAATGTAGTAGAAGGAGTTGTAAATGTGTCTGTTATAATAACTAGACTGGTCGATGGTTCCAGTGTAGTAGAAGGAGTTATTGATGATGACGCTGTAGTAACTAGACTGGTCGATGGTTCCAGTGTAGTAGAAGGAGTTATTGATGATGACGCTGTAGTAACTAGACTGGTCGATGGTTCCGCTGTAGTAGAAGGAGTTGTAAATGTGTCTGTTATAATAACTAGACTGGTCGATGGTTCCAGTGTAGTAGAAGGAGTTATTGATGATGACGCTGTAGTAACTAGACTGGTCGATGGTTCCGCTGTAGTAGAAGGAGTTGTTGATGTTTCTGTTATAATAACTAGACTGGTCGATGGTTCCAATGTAGTAGAAGGAGTTGTTGATGTGTCTGTTATAATAACTAGACTGGTCGATGGTTCCAATGTAGTAGAAGGAGTTGTAAATGTGTCTGTTATAATAACTAGACTGGTCGATGGTTCCAGTGTAGTAGAAGGAGTTATTGATGATGACGCTGTAGTAACTAGACTGGTCGATGGTTCCGCTGTAGTAGAAGGAGTTGTTGATGTTTCTGTTATAATAACTAGACTGGTCGATGGTTCCAATGTAGTAGAAGGAGTTGTTGATGTGTCTGTTATAATAACTAGACTGGTCGATGGTTCCAATGTAGTAGAAGGAGTTGTAAATGTGTCTGTTATAATAACTAGACTGGTCGATGGTTCCAGTGTAGTAGAAGGAGTTATTGATGATGACGCTGTAGTAACTAGACTGGTCGATGGTTCCGCTGTAGTAGAAGGAGTTGTTGATGTTTCTGTTATAATAACTAGACTGGTCGATGGTTCCAATGTAGTAGAAGGAGTTGTTGATGTGTCTGTTATAATAACTAGACTGGTCGATGGTTCCAATGTAGTAGAAGGAGTTGTAAATGTGTCTGTTATAATAACTAGACTGATCGATGGTTCCAGTGTAGTAGAAGGAGTTATTGATGATGACGCTGTAGTAACTAGACTGGTCGATGGTTCCGCTGTAGTAGAAGGAGTTGTTGATGTTTCTGTTATAATAACTAGACTGGTCGATGGTTCCAATGTAGTAGAAGGAGTTGTTGATGTGTCTGTTATAATAACTAGACTGGTCGATGGTTCCAATGTAGTAGAAGGAGTTGTAAATGTGTCTGTTATAATAACTAGACTGGTCGATGGTTCCGCTGTAGTAGAAGGAGTTATTGATGATGATGCTGTAGTAACTAGACTGGTCGATGGTTCCAGTGTAGTAGAAGGAGTTGTTGATGTGTCTGTTATAATAACTAGACTGGTCGATGGTTCCAATGTAGTAGAAGGAGTTGTAAATGTGTCTGTTATAATAACTAGACTGGTCGATGGTTCCAGTGTAGTAGAAGGAGTTATTGATGATGACGCTGTAGTAACTAGACTGGTCGATGGTTCCGCTGTAGTAGAAGGAGTTGTTGATGTTTCTGTTATAATAACTAGACTGGTCGATGGTTCCAATGTAGTAGAAGGAGTTGTTGATGTGTCTGTTATAATAACTAGACTGGTCGATGGTTCCAATGTAGTAGAAGGAGTTGTAAATGTGTCTGTTATAATAACTAGACTGGTCGATGGTTCCAGTGTAGTAGAAGGAGTTGTTGATGTTTCTGTTATAGTAACTAGACTGGTCGATGGTTCCAGTGTAGTAGAAGGAGTTATTGATGATGACGCTGTAGTAACTAGACTGGTCGATGGTTCCGCTGTAGTAGAAGGAGTTATTGATGGTGACGCTGTAGTAACTAGACTGGTCGATGGTTCCAGTGTAGTAGAAGGAGTTGTTGATGTTTCTGTTATAGTAACTAGACTGGTCGATGGTTCCGCTGTAGTAGGATTTATTGATGGTGACACTGTAGTAACTAGACTGGTCGATGGTTCCAGTGTAGTAGTAGAAGTTGTTGATGTGTCTGTTATAGTAACCAGACTGGTCGATGGTTCCAGTGTAGTAGAAGGAGTTATTGATGATGATGCTGTAGTATCTAGACCGGTCAATGGTTCCATTGTAGTAGAAGAAGTTGTTGATGTGTCTGTTATAGTAACTAGACTGGTCGATGGTTCTGCTGTAGTAGAAGGAGTTATTGATGATGATGCTGTAGTAACTAGACCGGTCGATGGTTCCAGTGTAGTAGAAGGAGTTGTTGATGTTTCTGTTATAGTAACTAGACTGGTCGATGGTTCCAGTGTAGTAGATGGAGTTACTGATGATGACGCTGTAGTATCTAGAATGGTCGATGGTTCCAGTGTGGTAGATGGAGTTACTGATGATGACGCTGTGGTAACTAGACTGGTCGATGGTTCCATTGTGGTAGATGGAGTTACTGATGATGATGCTGTAGTAACTAGACTGGTCGATGGTTCCGCTGTAGTTGCTAGAGTTGTTGATGGTTCCAGTGTGGTAGATTGAGTTGGCGATTGTTCTGTTATAGTAAGTAAAATGGTCGATGGTTCAGCTGTAGTAGCTTGATTTGTTGATGGTTCCTCTATAGTCGGTAGAGCTGTTGATGCAGATGGAAAAACAATACGAACTTCATGAGATATGATTAGCACCAAGAAATGTATTAAGTCACATAGGCCGAATCGCTTTTTGTTTGTTTCACGTGTCATGAACCCCGAGGCAAAAACGACTATTGTTTTGGAAATCGGGTACAATAAAAGTTGTGACACCACTAGCAGACAGTGACGTATCTAGACATTTCGGTGCCTCGGGACAACTATGATATTACATACCTCCCCTATCAAACTTTAAGTAAATGTACAGTCGAACGAACCGGGAGGAATAAGAATACAGTTTCATTGAAGTAAAGATACGTTATTATCATCATCGAACTATAAATTAGATGAATTTTTCTTTTGTAGTTACTCGTTCATATACATCACTTGAATATCTGATCAATTTTTAACACAATTATTGTATTCTGTTTTCGTTCTTCTATGCTTTTATTTCATGTCTATTGATCTTAATCCAAAGAGCGTATCCTAAATGTCGATGAATTCATTTGATTTGATTATTTACCTTGACACGAAGGGAGCTCCAGCACCGGCGGATCAGATAGGATACATTCGACCGTATCATTACCGATCAATGTATATCCCTCATCACATACAAACATACAAATGGTGCCATTGCTCAAAGAACTCTGAGGCAAGCATTCCTGTGAGGGCATAAGCAAGTTGGCAGGAAAACTCGGCACTATGCAATCTGCATCAGAATAAAGAAAAAAGAACATAAAATATGTACATACGGTTTAATGACTTATTAGAAATCGTATTTAGGCGAAGGTGCACAGTGACTAGTTAAACAAGCAAACTATAACAAAATATATAAAAACCTTTGAAGGCCGAGTAAAACTTATTCTTTAAAAGTTTCTCGTGTGGAATAAGAATTAGAGGTTCAATTATTTGATATTTTCCATTTCTTCCTGCTTAAAGTATCTCGGTAACATTGTTGAAGGTTGATGAAAAATATGCGTAATTTTTGTATGAAATGTTACTTATTATATTCCTTTTACTGTACTAACTCTCTTACATCCTGAACAAATTCTCAAACGACAAAGATAATCATGATTTTTTTCTCTTGAACGCGTCACTGTGCGACACCCTCTAACAGTCAATTCTTCAAACCATTTTTGAATTTTCCCAACCGTTTTTCCATGAAAATAAGACATATGACAGGCTTTTAAAAATCAATCAACACTCAAAATATCTGGAATGGTATGGAAAGCCAATTCATTGCTTTGTGACGATTTACAGTCACCTAAAATGCAATTAAATTGTAATAAAATGTAGTTGGGAGAATTAAGGAATCGATCAAATCATTTTTCCCCATTTTTATCGATAATAATGGTCTGTCTTCTCTCAAACATTCAGATTATCTTTAATTGTACATCTAGCATTAAAGTCACTACCTTAGCACCATTTCCTCTCTTAAAGATCTGAACAACGTTATCAAGTCCCTTTAACACATGTCATTATGTGCCAGTTGTGCTTTTTACCGATTTAAGATGTTGCCCAGTAAGTTTGTGTGCGTTTGTTTTTATGCCACTGGTTCAAACAACCGGGAATCTTTTGTAGGATAAACAATCCAGAATAAATCATAGCAATTTTCTCTCTAAATTCAATTCCTATACCAGAGTTCAAGTTTGGCTTTTACTGACCTTGTCCGCTAACGCTGTACATTGTGGCAGCGACAAGAAATAATGTCGAGATAAACATCTTCCCTCCACACAGTCCCGACATGATGTATACAATTGTCAAAACTGTAGAGTCAGATGGCCGGCTTCGTTAGATCAACGGTGTGCTATATCCTGCAAAAAGTCAAAGGAAAGTTAACACGCTTTACAGAATATAATTACATACAGACAGACATATAAAATAAAATGATGTCTACTGTAGGTCCTACCGTATATCATATATCACTGTTTTGTTCAAAGTGGGTTGTATACACAAAACGAATATTTTCAGCCAAAATGTTTGTTCTGAGATGCATTAAAAAAAGACTGGTGGGTCCCTAAAACATAATTTTGGGGCACTTTAGGCACCGATTTTCCAAATTCAGTCCGTGGCTAAGTTTTAAGCTTAAATTTGACCCTGGAATCTACATAACAAAATAGATGAACACAATTTCCTTTTATGGCCTGTGTACCTAACTGTTGTTAAGCCGTTCAAATTCAAACAGGCCACATGACATCATTGTGAATAGCGGTTATGACAGTTCATTGAAAGAAAAACAGACAATTTGCAACTGGTACTTTATTGCACGCAGTGGTGGTTTTTTCCCTTGCTTCGTAGACATTCACCCCTCGGTGCACAGTGCCTTCCAAAGAGAGGACAAACCTATTTACATGATGCAAATAGTAAATGTTGGGGCGTAGGTACTACACGGGAAAATTAATATTGACAGTGATTTATTATTTCATTTACCTATACCATGTATATTGAGTGTGCATCGCTTGTGCATAATAGCATAGCAAGAAATGAACATAAATGAAAAGAGAGACAAGATTTTGGTCTCGAAAATGAAATTATTAGAAGTGTATCGCTCTTTTAATAGAGTTATGGGTGTAAGTCGGTTTACTATAAATTTCTAATATAGACCTGTATTAAAAAAAAAGCCAGATCAATACACAACTCGCCCATCGCCCTGTAACAACCTGGCTAGTCATGCCAGAAGCGTTGATAAAGGGGTTGGGGAGGGGATGTAAACAAAAAATATTTTTAAAAACTCACTAGCCCCTCCACCCCTAAAAAAAGCTTCCCCCCAAAAAAGGAACAACTCGCACAACTGAATGAAAATAACAATTATTATTTTACTTGCAGTCAGTTATTTACTGCTAGTGCGATCAATCTACCAGTTCGCGTAGCTACATGTATGGTAGGCACATGGTGAACGTATAGAAAAGGGGAAAACAAGAAAAAGGACGAAAGGGGCGAAAAATGAAGACGATAGGTCTCTTTGATACCTCCCCGTTATTCGTAGACTTAATAATTCGTATTATATTTGCCAAGATATACCGATGTCCCCCCCCCCCCTTCCCTCATATAGCCAGTGCCCCTTAATCAGAGTCATGGCATGGATTAAGGAAAATCGTCTTGTTCTTAACACTGAAAAAACTTGTGTCATGTTAATAGGCTCTCCTGCTAATCTCAAGAAAATTGAATCTTTCACCATTTCATTAAACGGCAATTTGATCAAAAGAGTTCAATTCACCAAATGCCTAGGACTTTTGATAGATGAAGAATTGAAATGGTCTAAACAAATCGAAAACGTAAGTAAACTTACCCAGAAAAACATTAGCATGATAAAGAGAGCAAAGAGTTTTTTGCCTCAAAAATCCTTAAAGTTACTTTATAACAGTCTAGTGTTGCCACGGTTAGATTACTGCTCTGTTGTATGGTCGAACCGATTTCATTCTCATACAACTAAGCTGCAAAAAATTCAAAAGAGGGCCGCAAGAATAATATTGAACAAGACATATGACACACCGTCGGCTGATTTGTTCACAAGTCTTAAATGGATGACACTAGACAAGCGGTTTGAGTTAAGTCGCGTTATGATGATATATAAATGCGTTCATAACTTAGCACCCTCTTACCTTCAGGTAGGCTTAATCAATCCTAATGATGTACATGAGCATCATACAAGGCAAATAGACAGTGGTTTACGTGTGCCTAGATTTCACACTGATTGTTATAAGTGTAGCCCAATTGTTTCTTCCATATTTGAATGGAATAAGCTAGATAATTCGTTGAGAACGGCTTCCTCTGTCAATTCATTTAAGAGATTGTTTAAACAAAGTTGTAATTTGTGAATGGCTCAGCCGTACATACACTACGTGCATGTTCTGTAATATTTACATGTCTTATTCACATAATTGCGACTTAATTAATATTTTCCTATTGACATTACTGCTTACTAGGTTAATGATATATGTTAATTTTGCAAACGAGTATTATTTTTGTAACTGTTCTGTATAAATGTTATAAACGATGTAAATATGTTCATTCAGGGCCCCATGGAAGACCACTACTTGCTGGTGAATGGGCTACCCTGTCAAAAGATCAGAAATAAAATAAATCACCGACCCCAAGCTATGCCCCCGTAATCTATGATATGTCGACGAGTCTCAAGCGAAATCTAAATTAAACCGCAATATGCCTTTTAAGAAGCTTCTCTCGAAGAATATCTATAAAAAGAAGTCATGCTCACAACTTCACCTATTCTCATAATTTGCTTGGTCTGTTCATCGTATAGGTTTGCAAAGCCCATAAGTCTTTGAAAAAATCAGGGAAATTTAATTCCATTTTTGTTTCTAATACAACTGGATTTTGTAAGAGATTCCGCGCTTCGGACTTAATTCATTGGAATAAATACCCAAGTCACAGTTATCGTTTATTCATACAGAGTTGGCTCATGCAAGGGGAATAAAGTTTACATATGTTAAAGGCCGTCTGTACTAGTTTGGCTAGGAGGGATTAGACCACCCAGTGTCACTAACAGGTAGCTATCTCATCAACTCAGCTCTCAATTAACATGGGGGACCAATGGTCACCGATTAGGCATTGTTTTCTATAAAGAGGGAGCCAGTAGCTACAAGTAGTACAGTGGGGCTTTAAACATTAGCTTGAGTTCTGGTAATGATAGCAAATAAAGTCTTGTTTGTTTTTCTTTCACTGGTTCAGACAATCAATCTACTGCAGGATAAAATAATTCAGGATGAATTATAGTCATGTTCTCTCAACATATCGTTTATACATACAGAGTTGGCTCATGCAAGGGAAATAAAGTTTACACAATCATATATGTTAAATATAAGCTTGAGTTCTGGTAATGATAGCAAATAAAGTCTTGTTTGTTTTTCTTTTACTGGTTCAAACAATCAATCTACTGCATGATAAATAATTCAGGATGAATTATAGCCCTGTTTTCTCAACATTCGATTCCCATACCAGAGCTCAAGATTAGCTTTAAAGGTCGACTGTATTTCTGAATTTGAAACCATTAAAGTGATCCGGTAACTTTGTCTTATAGATCCTCTAGAAATAATCCTTGATTTAGCTCATGCTGCAATGATAATTATAAACCTTTAGGTCAGTCAGGAACTCCATGACTTTTACAAGCTGATCGCCTGTCTGATTATCAAGATATTAATGATTGGAATTACAAATTTTGAAAACAGTTCGTCGGACGGTTTTCATAACACTACAGTCTATTGGGGAAAACGAGTATGGTAAAACTGGTCACTCAAAGATTTTTACTTTTTTGAGGCACTTCTTGATCATTTTGAAACGCGATATTTTTTTAGGGCTTCAATATTACACCATATCACAGACACTGGTAACATGTAGGACCGTGTATCTCAGATTTAACATTGTTAAACGATCCCTTTAAAGTGATTGTTTTTGTTCGTTTGTTTGTATGTAGGTACAGTAGGTTTGTCTTTTCTCTTTCAGTTTATTTACTATAGGGTTGACAGGTGTGAATAATGATCATGTAAACCTCGAATATCTCAATACTGATGACATGAGGAAGTAGAGAAGAAAAATAATATTACAAAATTCGGTTTTCAGTATTGTTTGAAATCCTATTGTATTTTTTCCTGCCGCCACCAGAAGGCACTATACATTAAAATGTTTGGAGCACACTTCCTTGTATGATTCTTTAGGACTCAAATAGAAGTTGATGACTTGGGATTTTACTTGTGCTCCCCTGTTTACTGTATACAATACGGTCCTTCATGACAGTCCTTCTTCCGCAAATAACTGTGTAATGTTTGATGATATTTAGTATTTATGACAGTTTATCATTTCGTTTTTAAAAATAACAATTGTTATATATATTTACTTATTTATGATTCACTGTCAGAAAAATGCTTATTGTATTTCATATTATATTGTTATCGAAAAGATGTATATTTATATGAATGCAGAAGAAAATCAAATCAAATCAAAAATCAAAAACCAAAAACCAAATGAAATACCAGTTTCATATGTATTTCGCAATCAGTATCCTGTTTCATGACATTTTTGATTAATTACAAGTTACAAGCTCCTGTTATTGTTGCGTTTGATCGGTTTATGGCTGTTGATATTAATGACACGTCTCATTAAACAGTGTCCGTGTTTGCTCACTGTGATAATAAAAATAGATACAGAATTATGTAGGCCATCAAAAAGATTAACGTTATATATATATATAAAATATAACATTTGTACATACTTTTTCCTTTCAAACGATGGAATTTCACTTTTAATGACGTAACACAATTCAGAGAATATCTTAAATCAAATTCTCGTTAAAAAAAAAAGATGCAGTATGGCTGGAAATGGGCTAGGCGTAAACATTATACACACTTATGCACAAATATTTATATATGAAGTTCGTAGCTCATTGTTAATTCGTAAGGATAATTTTCCTATAGTGTAAGTGTACTGCATGGAATAATAAAATCATTGGGCACACTTTATTCACGACGAAAAAAAATCCTAATATCCCGCAATTTTAGGAGCGGTTCTAAATATCTGTGTCCATTCAACCATGGACCTACTACCCTATCAAACATTTTGAATGGGTAGGTCCAATAAAACAGTTGCCTTTGCTTAGTACTGTGACACTCGCAGCCGGATCAGTTCACATTTTGCGATTATTGTTTAAGTATTTTGTTCAATCACAAATATTAGATATGCTGATGACACTGTTTTATTTTCCGAATCAAAGAAAGATTTCCAGAGACTCCTGA